CGGTCCCCGCCGGGCCTCTGGGCTCCCGGGACTGGCACCATGCCTCCGAAAGAGAGGCGCCGCGGCGGAGGCTGGAGGGCTGGGGGGCGGGGGGAGGGCGCTGGAACGGCAACGAGAAACGAAACTGTGACCCTGCCTAGGGAGGAGGGCCCTCTCTCCAACCCCTGACCTGGGGCGTGACCCCGGGTGCATCCATCACCTGGGAGAAGGATGAGCCGAGAGGCTCCTCTAAACCCAGGGAGGCCCTGGAGGATCCAGCACTGGGGTGAGCGGGAGTGGACAGAGAACCTGCGTGATGGCCTACAATCCAGTCTTTCCATTTCTTTCTTCTGTTTTGAGACCATGTCACACTATATAGCCCTAAATACCTCGTACTGGCTATGTAGACCAGGCTGGCCCAAAACACAACAAAGAGACACTCCTGCCCCTGCCTTCCAAGTGCTGGGATTAATGGCATAGCCACCACTCTTGCAATCTGCCTGCTTCTTAACATTAAGTCCTACTCCCTAATCCCAAACCCGCCCTGACCAAGTTAGAATATACATAGTATGAAAAGTATATATTAATAGTAAGAAAAGTAATTTTCTTCATAGCACTGTTGTTTTTATTTTTTCTCTATTATATGCCTTTCACTAGAAGAGAAATATTACAGTCTATCATAGTGACACATGCTTTTTTTTATAATTTAACTTTATTTTATGTGCAGTGGTATGATGGTGTGAGATCCCCTGGAACTGTAGATACAGACAGTTTCAAGCTGCCATGTGGGTGCTGGGAATTGAACCCAGGTCTCTGGAAGAGCAGCTAAGGCTCTTAACCGCTAAGCCATCTCTCCAGTCCCGTGACACATGCTTTTAATCCTAGCACTTGGGTGGCAGAGACAGGTGGACCTCTGTGGGAGTTCAAGCCTGTCCTGGTCTACATAGTGAGTTACAGGACAGCCAGAACTACAGAGTAAAACCCTGTCTTGAAAAAACCCACACACAAAAAGAAAAAATATATAACTCTAACAAGCCAGGCACGTACATGCCTATAGTCCCAGATACTCAGGAAGCTGAGGCAAGAGGATCCCTTGAGTTCAAAACAATCAGCCATGGAGCCACAAAGATGGACTCAGTGGTTAGAGCTTGCTGCTCTTCCAGAGGATCTGGGTTTGAGTCCCAGTACTTATATGGTGGCTCTCAACTCCAGTTCCAGGGGACCCAAGGCTCTCTTCTGGCCTCCACGGGCAGTAGGCTCACAAGTTACCCATGTGTATAAAATGAAAATAATAAATAAATCCAGTCTGCACAACATAGTGAGACTTACTCCCTTGAAAAGAGAATACCCACTTTTTTCTATTATTTCTTTTCATTTTATATGCATTGCTATTTTTGCCTGCTTGTGTGTCTATGTGAAGGTGTTGGAACTCCCAGAGCTGCAATTACAGACAGTTGTGAGCTGTCATGTGGATGATGGGAATTGAACCCAGGTCCTCTGGAAGAGCAGTCAGTACTCTTAACCACTGAGCCATCTCTCCAGCTTGCCTCTGGGCTTTTTAACCTTTCTTTATATTATATATCTTTCTTTACTTCTTACTCTGTGGCTGGGTGTGTGGCTGGGTGACTGGCCCCTGGTGGTCTCCTCTCTCTCTCTTGTTCTCTAGTCTAGATTTCTTCTCCTAGTTATTCTCTCTGCCTGCCAGCTGTGCCTATCCTTTCTCCTGCCTAGCTATTGGTCATTCAGCTCTTTATTAGACCAATCAGATGTTTTAGACAGACAAAGTAACACAGCTTTACAGAGTTAAACAAATACAACATAAAAGAATGCAGCATGGGGGCCTGGAGAGATGGCTCAGAAGTGAAGAACACTGACTGCTCTTCCAGAGGTCCTGAGTTCAATTCCCAGCAACCACATGGTGGCTCACAACCATCCCTTATGAGATTTGGTACCCTCTTCTGGTGTGCAGATATACATGGAAACAGAATGTTGGATACATAATAAATAAATAAAATCTTTTAAAAAAAACCTCTTAAAAAAAAAAAGAATGCAGCATGGGACTGGAGAGATGGCTCAGCAGTTGAGAACATTGGATACTCTTCCAGAGGACCTGGGTTCAATTCCCAGTACAGCTCACAACTCTCTGTAACTCCTGTTCCAGGGCATCCAACACCCTCACAGAGACATACATGCAGGCAAAACAGCAATGCACATAAAACACAAATAATAAGTTACTTTTAAAAAATTAAAAGAATGCAGTTAGGCAGTGGTGGTGCACCCCAGCACAGGAAGCAGAGACAGGCAGATCTCTGTGAGTTCAAGGCCTGCCTGGTCTACAGAGCAAGTTCCAAACATGCAGGCAAAACAGCAATGCACATAAAATAAAAATGAATAATTTTTAAAAGCCCAGAGGCAAAATATAGGAGAAGAGAAACTGGTGGTTAATTTAAGAAAAGCTGTCCAGCCAGGCGTTGGTGGCACACACCTTTAATCCCAGCACTCAGGAGGCAGAGGCAGAGGCAGGAGGATTTCTGTGAGTTCCAGGCCAGCCTGGTCTCCAGAGTGAGTGCCAGGATAGGCTCTAAAGCTATACAGAGAAACCCTGTCTCGAAAAAACAAAAACAAACAAAAAACAAAAACAAAAAAAAAGAAAGAACGAAAGAAAAGAAAAGCTGTACAGAAACAAGTCAAGCTAAGATTGGGCATTCATAAGGAAGAATAAGTCTCTGTGTATTGATTTGGGAGATGGGTGGCAGGCCTGTAAAGAGCAAAAAATAAAACAAACAAAACAACTACCTGTGTGTGCCTGTGGGCGGGTGCACATAAATGGGTGTTTGCATGTGTGTATGCCTGGGCATCACCTGGGTGCAATGCCAAAGCAGGGCATTGGAACCCAAAGGACTAGAGTTACAGCAGTTTTTACCCTCCGTGTGAATGTCTGAAATCAAACTAGGGTCCCCTGTGAGAGTAGCCAGTGCCAGGGCTTTTAACTGCTGAACCATTTCTCAAACCCCAAGAAGATAATTCTTTGTTTGTTTGTTTGTTTTATGTTGTGGGGGGGTTGTTTGTTTGTTTTGCTTTTTTGTGGTTTTTCAAAACTGGGCTTCTTTGTGTAGCCTTGAGTGTCCTGGAACTAGCTCTATAGACCAGTCTGGCCCTGAACTCAGGTCTGCCTGCCTCTGCCCCCTAAGTACTGGATTAAAGATGTGTGCCACCTCCACCCTATGATCATTTTCATAATAAGCTGAAACATGGAATAAACTTAACAGTGAAACTCATAGCAACAATCTAAAGTATACAAATGACATTTTAGTGTCTGTAATTTGGGGAGGGAAGTGACCTGGCCTCATACTCACAGAAGTCTACCTGCTTCTGCCTCCCCAGTGCTGTGACTAAAGGTGTGTGCCACCATGCCCAGCTAGAAGCATATCATTTTTAGATTTTATTCATTTTATGTATATAGGTGTTTTGTCTGCATGTGTATCTGTGTACCACAAGCATGTTTGGTTTCCAAGGAGACCAAAAGAAGGCATTAGACCCCTGGATCTGAAGTTATAGATGATTGTGAACTGCCATATAAGTGCTGGGAACCAAACCTGGGTCCTCTTCAAGAACAACAAGTGCTCTTAACCTCTGAGTCAACCTCTCCAGTCCTCAAATTATTTTGTTTGTTTTTTTGTTTTTGTTTTCATCTGAGAGAGAACCTCAATGTTTTTGATTTTCTGAGACAGGGTTTCTCTGTGTAGCCCTGGTTGTCCTAGAACTCACTCTGTAAATCAGGCTGGCTTCCAACTCAGAGATCTGCCTGCCTCTGCCTCCTGACTGTTGTGTAGGGGAAGCTGTAGCCACGCCTACTTAGGGGCTGGCTACAGATATGCCTGACCACGCCCTCGAAAGCTTTCGAGGGCGTGGTCAGGGGACATAGGTTGACTGCGTTTTCGCTTTCCGTTTCTCTTTTGTGCTTGTGTTCAGACTGCTGCCACGCCGGCTGGCTAGGTCGCTCTGTAAGTAGGGCTTTTCCCTATTAAATACCCTTATATTTCTACCTGACTCCGTATTGGTAATTTCCCACTATACTGCTGGGATGTGCCACTACCACCACCTGCTTATAAAACAAATCCTTTTTTGGTTTTTCAAGACAGGGTTTCTTTGTGTAACTTTGGAGCCTGTCCTGGAACTCACTTTGTAATCCAGGCTGGCCTCGAACTCCTAGAAATCTGCCTGTCTCTGCCTCCCAAGTGCTGGGATTAAAAGGGTGTGCCACCACCACCACCCAGCTAAAACAAATCTTAAAACAAAACAAAACTCAGTATTAGAGACTGGAGAGTTACTGAAGTACTTAAGAGCACTTGTTGGGGTTGGAGAGATGGCTCAGAAGTTAAAAGCACTGACTGCTCTTCCAGAGGTCCTGAGTTCAATTCCCAGCAACCACATGGTGGCTCACAGCCATCTGTAATGTGCCCTCTTCTGGCCTGCAGGCATACATGGAGGCAGAATGTTGTATACATAATAAATAAATAAAATCTTTTTAAAAAAGCACTTGTTGGTTATGCAGAAGTCCTAGGTTCAGTTCCCAGTTCCTAACTGGCAGGTCACAACCATCTGTAACTTTAGTTCCGATTATCTAAGATCCTTCTTGTCTTTGTGTGTACTGCATACATGCAAGCAAAACACCCATGCATATAAAATAAAATAAATCTTAAGACTGGTGGTGGCACACACCCTTAATCCTAACACTCGAGAGGCAGAGGCAGGCGA